GWGMTGGAGCAGAGTGTCCAGCCAGGGTSAGAGCCCTGGGACACTGCAGGAGTGTGGATCTGATCCCTGTGTGCCCGGGGCTGCTGATGGGACTGGGGTGGCTGCTGCCCTGGGCTGGGTGGGGCTGGGGGCTCTGGATCCTTGGTCTGTGCCTCCCTGGTGGGGCAGGCACGGCCCATGGCACCACCATGGCACCACCACGGCATCCACCATGGCACCACCATGGCACCACCATGGCACCCACCATGGCACCCACCATGGCATCCACCACACCTCAGAGCTGCCCATGGCACCCACACCACAGTGTCCGGCTGCCTCGGTGCTGGGGGTAACACAGCAGGCAGGAAAACAAGAACCCAGCAGAGCCAAATCCAACAGAGAGAGCAGTCTGAGCTCTGAGCTCCACTCTGGGTGTGCAGAGCCTCAGGTGGGGACTGTGCCCAGCCAAGCACAGCTCCCGTTCCTCAGGCAGGAGGTGCTGACTGCCAGCAGACCACCCCACCTGGCACAACGCCCTCCTGCTCCAAAACACATCAAAAGAGACTCCTTTTCCTCTGAGGCTCAGCGAAATCAGCCCTCCAGGTGCCCTTGGGGAAGAAGGACATGCCAAAGGCACAGTSTGTGGGTGACAGGCACCAAGCCTTTCCCTCACCCAATGCTCCGTGCCCCAACCCATGGCTCAGGTCRGGAACCAAGTATTTGCTGAAACAAAAAGCAAACACAACTGCGAATGGAACTGTAGGGAAAAACTATAATGCTTAAAGCAGACACATGCTTGGAAAAATAAATATCCAACTGTGCAGCATACAGAGCASGTTAACCCTTCCCAGCTGGCCACCGGCACTTGGGGCTACTGGGGCATCTTCAGCGCTGAACTGTGGGCATTCAGGGGTAGGAGAGCCTGGGACATGGGGCAGGAGGACAGGGAAAGGCCCAGTCTCYATAAAACCAGCTCAGTTCTAGGAGYACCCTCACACTCTGGGATCCCTCCCTACTCAAAGGTTTGATTTTCTAATCTACAGCACGACCATTGGTACCCAAAAATCTGTACTGGGCTGGTCCCCGGAGTGCTCTGGGGGGAGACTGGGACACGATGATAGCCTGAGATCCCATGAAAGGGGCAGAAACCCATTACCCATCCTGGGAGGGACTGGATGGGCTTTTCACCGCATTCTGCTCCTCCGAGGAAAGCTGCCAGGAGGGSAAGGACACACATTTGCCATCGTGCCCAGAAGCAGAAGGTCCCCAAAAGCAGAGAAAGCTGGACTGGAGGGATGGATGAGCAACTGCGAGCCAGGACTCGGGGGCTCCACCTGCAGCTGGAGGCAAAACAGCTCCTGGCTCAGGTTRTGTTTTTATGTGGGGAAATAAAGGGGAAATTCACACCTGAAAGGGACCGGGGCCCCTTTTTGCACAGCCAGRGCAGACACCTCGTGTGCCCAAAAGACCAGACGATGCTCCCTGGCCGCCTTCACCCCGCCAGCACTCGTGCCTGCGCCCTGCCGGGGCAGGGGAGATTTATTTTAATCCTGTCGGAGCAGCACAAGGAAAAGGCAGCAGTGCATGCCAGCCAGCACAGGGATTAAGGGAGGAAGTGCTCCTGAGTGGGGAAGATGGCTGCTGGCCAGAGCAGGGGGCTGCAGGGCCCACTCCTGCGGCGATCCTGGGCGAGGGTGGGCTGGCCCTGCGCCCCGCTCTGTGCTGGCATCCGGACAGAGCCACCAGAGCCACCACCAGAGCCACCAGAGCCACCACCAGAGCCACCAGAGCCACCAGCAGAGCCACCAGAGCCACCTCCTCTGCCTGCGCACATTCCCGCTCCTCTCTGGCCGGACCTGGCAGCCTCCAAACCCGCCCGCTCATCCCCGAGAGCCGCCGGGTTCAGCGAACTGTTGGGGTTTAAACATTGCCGGGAGGGAGCCGTGAGCCAGGACACGGGGCAGTAACTCGGCAATGCGGGCACAGAAAGGACAGCGAGGCAGAGGCAGCTCCTCGGCGTCCCCCGAGCACGGACACGCTCCGCTCCGTCCTCACACGAGGCCAGCGGCCACCTCCATGTCGCCACAAAAACCACAGCCAAAGCCCTGTGCAAAACCCCAAACCCTGCCGGTGCCGAGGGCCCGCAGCGGCCCGGCTGTCCCCCGCCATCGCAGGTGTCCGGAGCCCCGAGCCCGGACACACAAAGGGACGGCGTTATTTCACCGCCTCCGTTCGCGCTGAACGCGCCGGGATCCCAAAAAACTGAAACACAACCAAATCCAGCTCCTTCTCCATCTTTCTCTGGAAGCCGCAAGGCTCCCGCTCAGGTACTTTTCGAGAATAAGGGGCCAGGCAGCGAGAATAAGGGGAAAGCAGCGCCGATCCCCGCCAGGCTCCGCCACGGCCGGGAGGGGTTTCGGGGTCGAGACGGTGGGACGGTTCCAGCCCGGGCTCGGCTGATGGACGGGGTCGGACCCGCCGCCTTTGGGAACTGCTGCCCGCCGAGCTGCAACCGAGAGCGGCCCCGAGCCCCGCACACCGGAGCGGAGCGGACCGCTACCGCACCCCGGGCTCCTCAAACGAGCCGCCCGCCAGGAACGAGGGGCACCCGGGGGGATTCGGCCGAGACAGAGCCCCGTCCCCCGATGGAGCCCCCGCTGCCGCCCCGGAGCACAAAGCGACGCCCCGCGGTCCCGGTGCCGCCCCCCCGGCGGAACGCGGCCGCCGTTACTCACCGGAGCCCCGCGGGCGGCGGCGGCGGCGCGGTGCCGCCGCTCCCGGGAACAATGGAGGGGAGCCCCGGCCGGGGCGAGAGGCGCAGCCCCGCCGCCGCCGCGCTCACTGCGGCCGCCCCATGGC